ATTAATCTTAATTTATTAACTACTAAATATTAATTATTTTATTATTTATAAATTATTTTTAACCGTGAATAAAAATTTAATAATTTATGTAATCTTAACAAATTTAAAAATGACCATAACTATAGCCAAAGATTTTGCACATAAAACTTGCAATATATCTTCTGTAAGCATGTAAACCTCTGTCTACTTAGAATATAAAGCTTCATCGGTATAACTTCAAAAAATTTCTCATAAACAAAAATTTACAGTGTAATTTCTAATTGTTGCAATGCTGATCATGGTAAATTTGCCAGTACAACACCAAATCTTGACTACAAGATTGCCACCCTACATCTTGGTGTTGTCATTTTCCCTTGCTGGTTTGATCTCCATTTCATTAGGCAGGGCTGTTCACATCAAAAACAAGACATGGGATCGCAAGTTATTGCACAAAATTTTAAGAAACTCCTCTAGAAGAATAAACAACAAAATAGTATAACTGAAATCCAATCACAAGCACAAACCTAGGTGGGCTCAGTCGCAGGTAAGGATTCCATGCCGGGTTGCGCATTGGTGTTCTCATGCCATCATGTATAGGTGTGGCTGCAGACATTTCCAAAATAAGTATACTTTTTTGTAATATACACAGGCAGTTGATTGCAACATTTGCAGAACATAACTAAAATGTAAAGGGAAATTGCAAAAGACAAAAACACATACCTCCAGGATCTCTCATAGGTGTCATGCATGGATGTAGTGGAGTTTCACCTCCCCTTCCACATTGAAATGTATCACTGGTGAAAATAAAAACAGACAAATCAGAATACATATGGAGCATGTTACTATGTCTTGATAACAAAAGAAACCAAAAGAACTTCAGAAATATTTCATATTTACCAGTAAGCTGTTGAAACAACATTATCACTTATGACACGGCGATCAACTGCACACATGAACGAGCATTATAAACCTTAAAAGCAAGAGGATCAGAGGAGACAAGTCCCAATATTAGTAGAAACTTACCTGTAACAAGATTCATTTGGGACTCCAACTCAACCCGAACTGATGGGCCTCTGACATCTACAACACGTCCACGACAACCCTTGTAGGGGCCCAGGCGAATTTTCACTGTCATACCAACTAAACCATCACGTTGTCCCCTCCCACGTCTGTGCCTTACTCCAGCTGTTTTGAATATCAAAATGTAAGTAATGGAACCAATGAAATATGTCCACGAAAGATTCAACCCAATAAAAATAATAGTACTCAGATCAGCTAAAAAAAACTTGTACAAACACAAATGCCATGACCACCAGCAACTTACAATTATATGGATTTTCTCCCTTAGAAAGTCTACTTGGTGTTGGAGGTATATGTGGAATTCTGAAACTGCCAAATCTTGAGTAAGAATCATCAATTTTGGTTTCACCAGTTACTTCAGAGCAATCCACAACATCATCAGCCAAGACACGGATCTGATGAGTGAGATATTTGAGATTAATCTCTAAATTTCCTCATTAAAAGAATATTATTATGCAGGGGATTTTATAAAATAAAATTATGAAATTGAGAAATGAATCGCTTACATGCTCCTTCGTTGTTTCAGATAAAATAATAAGCAAATTCTGCTCGACCTTAACAACCATACCAGTTGTCCCTTCCTTTGTCCCAGAGACAACCTTCACACGTTTTCCAGGTTCAAAATACTTGCGCAGCTCTTTTTCATTGACAGAAAGAGTTTTCTGCAAAGAATTAATTCCATGGACAAGTACATTGGATGTCAGAAGACTACTTGCTCAAAGTCACAAATTGTTAATGAAACAATAATAAGAGAAAAAAAAATGTAGCAATATTCAACAAATTCTTACAGGAAGGTGCTCCATTTCTGGTTTAGTTATTGCTGGTTTAATGTGGACAATCTCTTCCTCAACTTTTTCAACCCAACCCTTCAAATCCTTCAGATCCCCCTTCACAACTATAACTGGGTCACCTCTGATGAAATAAGCCTTCCTTCTATTTGCAGATAAAGTTGACAAACTAACTATATCACCATCTCCACGGCCTCCAAGCTTTCGAAAATTTTCAATTTCATCAAAAGTAGGCATTATATTTTGAGTACTAATTGATGTCATGGACACTTCTTCTTTGCACAAGAAACCGCCTTCAAACTTCATCCCACCAATCTCAAAATAATCACCATTCACTTTATCACGCTTATGCTTTACAGGAATATGAAGATTCCTGTAAACACAAAGATAGAGGCAAAGGAAGTAAGACAGGTCAGAGGGGTGCATACAAATGCAAAAGAACCTTCAGGTAAATGCAAAAGAACCATACAGTTAAAACTCAAAATAACTGAAAATACCTAGCTTCAGCAACATTCATAAAACGAGGTGGGGGAACAAATGACTTCTTTGGAACTTCTTTACCTTCCTGTATCAAAAACAATCTGTCATTTTACTGGAATATACATTGAAAGGATAGGTACCAAAAAGATGCATTTAATTCTGCCACAATTTAAAAACCATTACTATCCTCCATCGAATTTAAGCTTCTTCCAGATATGCACACAAGAACAAAAGAAATAGTAAAATATCATACCAATTTATTAGCAAGAGCCTGTAAGTCAATCCTTGGGATTAATTTCACTTTGACTTTCTGCCGCACATTATCGACATCAACTACCTATCAAGCAGAAATTTGAAGGTAAGATGACAGTTTGTTAATATAAGAATCACGGAATGTATAAGGACATGAATCATACTTTAGCTAGATCACCCTTGTATGTTCCCCTCTTCATTCTGACCCAGGTACCTCCAGACAGATCAATTGCTTTACTTTTAACTGAAAGAACATCAGTCATTTCTGTTATTTCAACACGCTTAATATCCTTTGCAGATATCTTGCACAGACCCTTGCAAGCCTGAAAAAGATACAATTCAGCTAGTTAAAATAAGTTTACACATCTAAAAATAGGCCACTCAACAAAGATAACGCATCAATAACAGTATACCTCTCTCACGTGGGCTTCCCTGTATGCTTCAATATAGATATAGTTTTTTAGGTGATCAAGAGCAATAGCTGATATTATTTGCAATTCAGATCTTTTGTCAATACACTTTTGCATCAGGCAGGCAGCTATCTCCCGTTCACATCCAGTCTGACACAAAAAGACATTAGTTGTATTCAAACAAGTATCACAAGAACAGAAAAACTTTCAAGCAAAGAAATTACATTAAGAAAAGTTGCAAAGGAGGTTGTTAATTATGATCATACCGCACATTTCACCAACCAAAGGGAAGGATCCTTTACTGAAGGCAATAGGGCCTGCTGCTCTACTTCAGTGATCTCCTCATCATATTCTGCATGACTTGATCTTGCATATTTTGCCTGAATCCTTCTCTCAAGGGCTTCAACATCCTCTTCTTCTTCATCCTGGGGAAGTAATGGAAGACGATGAATCCTTCCACCATCATCTTCACCCAGTAGATCAGCGCCACTAGCAACTATGAAATCTGCATGTACAATTTCTCATTACTCAACCAAATCACATCCAACCATACGCTCATAATTATCAGATTTAAGAGAAGAAAAATAGGGAGAACTATCAGAACAATAACTAGTCAATAGAATTGTTAACAGGGCCAAACTTAGCACTAGAAGAGGAGAGAAAACACTTTAAAGCGTTGAACTGTCGTACTGCCTAATGCAAACCAATATAAAATATTTCAGTTTTGAGTTCATGGAACGATATCCACCGACGGAAACCCTAATTTGAAACAACCTGCAAACCCTAATTTAGAAACAAGTAACAACCAATGTTACCAAAATTGAACCCTAATTAATCTCAAATACGTCGCTCACACATAAAAATCAAAAAAGAAAAAGGTTTCCCTTACCGTCTTCTCCCTCCTCTTCATCCTCCTCTTCCTCGTCACTATCAACCTCTGCCTCAATATCAAAATACTGGGCAGCCCGACGGTAAGTCTTCTGCCGTCTCCCACCATAATCTTCGTCATCATCCTCCTCCTCATCCACAACATGGTCAGCAAACACTGACCTCCTCCGCTTCAGCCTCTGCCTACCTTGAACCTCCCCCTCGTCGTCCATCACCTGCTCCAATTCCTCTTCATACTCTTCACTTTCTTCGTCTCTCCGTCTCGCCATTGTTTCGAACTTTCAATGCCTTAATGCACGCGTAAAATAACTTGTCCGCGAAGAATGGTTCCTTTATATAGGGAAAAATAGTTCGACTTGGGCTTGGATTTCAAGGTCCGGCCCAAAAATAATTAAAAAGGCCTGGATTCAAGCCCAGCCCAATATATCGCCGCCACGCTGTTCTCAATCTCCCATCCGGCATCCTCTCCGAACGCCACTGCGTCACGTCGCCGTCCCGCAGGATATTATCCGTGGGACCAGAACCCAAGTTCCAGGACCCACATCTCGCCACGTGGCACCTCCTCCATTCTTCACCTTCTCGACTCGAAAGCCATTTGCGCAGATCTCCATCTCCGCCCCCTTCTCCCCCCACCTTCTCTCCTCTCCTCTCCGTCCTACGTCCGATCACCGGAGCTATCTCTCTGTTTCTCTGTTTTCTTCTCTGGCCAAAAGGGAGATAGATAGACATTTTGTTTTGTCGACATCATGGTTGTTCTTCAAAGACACGCTCTCTCCTAACCCAAATATTCACAGGCTCTTTCGCATTCTTAGGATTCATTCCTAGATCCGCAATTGCCTCCCTAACCCTCTCTGTTTTTTCCTTTCCCTTGGCCGACACAACTGTCCCTGACATTACCTGTTCCAAATAAGCTATTTTTGTTGCAGAAAAGCGAGAAACTGTGGTTAATTTTAGTTGTTGCTGTTGTCACATTGCTTCATTTTCGGCATTACCAAATATAGACCATTGAAATGCAATAGTTTCGGATTAGCCTTGTTCTTTACCATTACATATTTCATAATTTTTTTCTTGCTTTGGTTTTCTCTGCTGATTAATTTACCTGCATTCTTGTTTTTTCCCTCTTTTTTGAAGCCTGGCCCTTTTCTGGTTTTTCTAATTTTCCTTCTGGGGTTCTTGATTTTGATTGAAAGGATCCACCTTTTTTGGTTCGTTTCAAATCCATATTCGATTGGGATCTGGGTTCTTTAGATTCAGTAGGAGGATATTCTTTGGTACCCTTTTGATCCAGGGATCTGGGTGCTCTCTGATTCAATTCATTTCATCATTGTATTTCTCAACAAGATTCGGGGTTCTTGTATTCAAGGGGTGCAAGGTGATTAATTGGGGAGGGATATGAGGTTTATCACGATGGCTGGAGAGGAAATTTAGGTTTTTTTTAGGAGTTTAGGTTGTTGGTCCGGGGGCTTGATTTCCTGATCATTGAATCCTATATACACAAGAACTTGCATTGAAATTTCTGGTTTCCTGTTTAGAAGCAACAGGGGATTGTCAATTATGGGCTGCATTTGCTCGAAAGGGACTGGTGCCAATGAACATGTTGAAAGCAACCATAGTAAGGACAGGGTTTTGGGTAGAAGCTCTAGGAAGTTATCTGCTCCTGCAGCAAGGGAGAATATTGTTGTGGAGGCAGATGCAGGTTGCAATGAAGCCACTGCAAGGCTGATATCAAATCAGCATGGAAACCAGAATAACTGCTTTGCTCCTGCTTCATCTTCAGACGAGGAGGAGAAGAAGGCTATGGCGGTGGCTGTTGAGAAGACGAAGATATCGCCCCAACTTCATCGGCGACATACAATGGAGACTGGGGTAAAAGGTGGACAAGGGCAGTCTCGGATGTCTAGGATAGGGAGTGCAATTCCTGGGGAGAGAGGAGCCCAGGTGGTGGCTGGTTGGCCCTCTTGGTTGGCTGCAGTGGCTGGGGAAGCAATCAATGGATGGGTGCCTCGAAAAGCTGATTCATTTGAGAAGTTGGAGAAGGTTAGTTTCATTCCTCTATTTAATAGTGCATTCTACTATGGCTTTGATTTTCATGATCTGACTCTTGGTGATGGTCTTGATGAGTTGACGTTGCTTCAGAAGTTTGTATTTCCTTGGCTTGCTAGTGTGGTTAATGTCTTAATGAACTTATCATGGTTAACACATGTGCATTCTTGAATAACATGAAAACTTATGCTCTTTCTCTTACTTTAATTGTTGTTTCTATTTGCATGAAAATGCCTCATTTTCTTGCTTTTGCTTGACTCAGGCACTTGATTTCCTTTTAAACTTAAAGTCAAATTTTTTCCACATATTCTTCAGGCATGGAACATCTTAGGAGTGAGATATCACATCTGTTCTTGACATAAGGTGCTTTAATTTTTCCATTAAGAAAATAGTTCCTTGATTTTTAAAAAAGTAGAATAACACAATTAACTAGGATCAGTGACATTACCATGGTGACCTGAACTGCTGCTGGTTGGAAAACCGTCTGACAATGAAATAGCATTTTGTTGCATCTTTGTCAGTGTTTTTAATTTTTCATCCATATCCTTTATGATTGCTAATTATGCATATATTTTTGGCCACTGCTAATTTTGCAGATTGGACAAGGAACTTATAGCAGTGTGTACAAAGCTCGTGATCTTGAATCAAACAAAATAGTTGCATTGAAGAAAGTGCGGTTTGCTAATATGGATCCTGAAAGTGTTCGTTTTATGGCAAGAGAAATCATTATTCTGCGTAGACTAGATCATCCCAATGTCATGAAGCTTGAAGGTCTAATTACTTCTAGGGTGTCTGGAAGCTTGTACCTTGTTTTCAAATATATGGAGCATGATCTAGCAGGACTTGCAGCAACACCGGGGGTTAACTTCACTCAGGCCCAGGTACATTCATTTCCCCCTCTCAAGTCTTAAATCATTTTCCTTTTGGCCAGACTTTTATATATTTATTGAGGTCATTAAAGTTCAAATGTTCAATGCAAATTTAGTGATTGGATGATCCTGAATTCACTAGTTTAACATTTTTTATGGATTTGGCAGAACTTGGGGAGAAATCTTTTATAATAATTGACTTGAAAATGGCTTTTCACTAGTTTCACTGATAGGACATATTGTGAAATGAGTAAACAACTTTTTTTACCATAAGAATATCTTTTTCCCACGCAAAGGGTCATTTTCTTGGTTGAGGATTTATCCATTTTCCCAATTTTTTATTCCAATAAAGGAACAGTTAACTTCGCCTTTTTTAGGTTAAATTATTGAATTTTATATCTTATATGTGCAGATCAAATGTTACATGCAACAGTTGCTTCGTGGACTTGAACATTGCCACAGTCGTGGGATTTTGCACCGTGACATTAAGGGCTCTAATCTCTTGATTGACTATAATGGAAATCTCAAGATTGGTGATTTTGGGTTGGCAACTTTTTACCGTCCCACTCCAAAACAGCCTCTAACAAGCCGTGTAGTAACTTTGTGGTACCGCCCTCCTGAGCTTTTGCTTGGAGCCACAGACTATGGAGTTGCTGTGGACCTGTGGAGTTCCGGTTGCATTCTGGCAGAGTTGTTCGCTGGGAAGCCTATTATGCCTGGAAGAACAGAGGTATGATGGAAGAAAAATGCTAATGAAATTGAGCTTATAATTTGAATACAGTTCATATGATACCTTAAGCCATCTTATCAACATGTCTTACGTACTATAGTTCTCCTAAACTGTCGTAAGATCAGCATGCAAATGAACTCCCCTATAATGTTGTCTATAATTAACACAGAATAGACCTACATTACTGTTCCTAGACCATATCAAGTTCTTATTTTTTAGCAAGATGAACATGTCAGTTTTGAAGATCTCATTAATTATCATTGATAGGTGGAACAACTGCATAAGATCTTCAAGCTCTGTGGATCACCTTCTGAAGAGTACTGGAGAAGATCAAAATTGCCACATGCAACCATTTTCAAACCTTCACATCCTTATAGACGCTGTGTTGCTGAGACATTCAAGGACTTTCCTAAATCAGCTTTGGCACTTATGGATGTCCTCCTTGCAATACAACCTGAGCACCGTGGGACTGCTTCTTTGGCACTTCAAAGTGAGGTAAACTTTGATTCTTGTGTTGCCATGACAATTCAGGTCATGTTTAATAAGTCTTCAGCATTTTGTACTGATGTTGTTACTTCGGAGATCTAATTGTTTATTTTGAATTTTCCCTTTTTCAGTTCTTTACAACAAAGCCTTTTCCCTGTGCTCCATCAAGTTTGCCCAAGTATCCACCAAGTAAGGAGTTTGATGCTAAGCTTCGAGAAGAGGAAGCTAGAAGGTAAGCAGTCTCCCAATATCATATTTGTTATCAATCTGCTTTCAACTTCTAATGCATAACAAGAATTCTATCATTTTTCATTTGAGAGTGTACAATAGTGCGTTTTCTGCTCCTATTTTCTGTTGAAAAACAAATTGTTTAGTCATGGCAGTATTATTTCTAAAAAATTCTCCAGTTTTACACCTGTTTGGTAATGTATAAATCAGGCGTAAAGCAGCTGCTGGAAAAGGACGTGGACATGAATCAGTTAGAAATGCTTCTAGGGAATCCACAGCTGTACCAGCACCAGATGCTAATGCTGAGTTGCAGGCATCCATACAGGTAATTTCAACCTAGTAAACTTTACATGTATGTTGACATATGGTATATGTGTAGCTCAAGAATAGTTGTTTATGTAATGACTTAATTCTTTGGCCTGGTGCAGAAGCAACGAAGGAAGGCTGACCCTACAAGTGTTAGTGAACAGTACAATCCTGAAGAGGAAGCTGGCTCTGGCTTCCCTATGGAGCCTCCCAAAGGAACAAAGGTTATGCATTCTCATTTTGGTCCGTCAATGCACCCCAGTAATTACGGATCTACCTGGAATATGAACACAAATGAGGGCCAGTCTATTAAGGCCTCTACACGAGCATTCGGTTCTCCAAGGAAGCCTGCAGAGATAAGAACCCAGACGTCATACATTAATCCAGGAGCAGCAGAACTTTCCAGATTTTCCCATTCAGTTGCTACAAGTAGAGGGAAATCTCATTTTGACACCCCCAAAGAGAGTGGCATGACTGACGAGTGTTTTTCTGCTGGATACAACCATCTTGATAATGGTGGGGCCTCGGAAAATCATGAACTGTCTCACCTCTTGCTGGATAAACCGAAGAATTTACATAAGAAGGATGAACAATCTTTCAAAGAATCAACAATGGTAAAGGAACTCACGAACTAGAAAATCTTTTATCAATTATCCTTCTTGCACGATATATATGCCATGTCTTTCCTTTTTGCTGTCATTCAAAGAAGCTGCATTATAACACAATTTTGCAAGTACCGGGATCAATAGTTTCCCTGTCTTCTTAGAATTTAAAGTCATTCAATCTGATTTTCTGAAGTTACATGCTGACACTTGTCTTTGTGATTTCAGGGTTATGTTACCAAGCAAACCCGCATCCACTACTCTGGACCATTGCTACCTTCAGGGGGAAACCTTGAGGAAATGCTCAAAGAGCATGAGAGACAAATCCAGAATGCTGTACGCAAATCTCGTTTGGACAAGACAAAAACAAAGAATTCCTTCGATGATAAGGGACAAACTGAAGCGCTACTTTGTTATGGGACAAGCGGCAGGTGACAAATGCAAGGAAATTTATGCTGTCTTCATTTTGATCCTGAAGCCCCGGCAGAATCTCATCATATACATATCCAAAAAAAACGTATATGCCAGATACCTGACAATTCTCACCATTGGAAGAGGCTCAATAACCCTGTAAAGTACATGGGATTTGCCACTAAATTCTGACCAGAAAAAAATGGCTTAACTCGGTTGAGATTTTGAGAATAATGGATAGCTCGGAATCTATCGTCATTTTCTGGTGATGCATGGAGACCTCTCTGTTTGACAATTTTCAACTAACGGAGCCAAACTTGTACAGCTAAGTTGGTTTCTGTATACCGCATCTCTTGTAAAGGTCATCATTTTGTTCAAAGCAGCTGGTACCTTGCTCTTTCAAAGAATGTAACTCATGCTGTCTTTGCTTCCTCAGGCAAAATGCCTTTTATATAGAAATGTCATTGTTTATTTGTTAAAAAATTTCAGGGATTGCAATGAAACATATCAAAATTACAAAAGCAGTGACCCTTCAACTCCTGAAAACCATGGCTTTCCTAATCACCCATCAATTTTTGCACCTTAGCAGCAGGAAGAAATTAACATCCCAGCCAAAATGGGCAAAAGGGAACTGTCCCAACTCCTTCAAATCTTCTGGTTGCATGCAGCCACCAAACTGATATAGACCCTGTTTTGCTAACAAATCAAATATTCTACCAACCTGGTAGATGTACCAAAAAAGGGGTTGCTTCATGTTGCTTCTTCCAGCATCCTAGTAGCTCTACTGTCCTCATCAAGTGTCCGTTGTTTTCTTACCTTCATCTCCAAGCATCACAAGAGAGTTACACTAGCTCTCTCCCATCTCTCTTCAAGTCCAAAATATAATCAAACACCACCCAAGTCTCCCAAATCTCCACATCTTTTCCTCCTCCAAAAGGAACAGTTTCCAGCAAAAAAAATGAGGCCTAAAACCAGTCAAGCCCTCACCTCCAAGGTCCTCCTATTGGGTGTTTTCATTGCTTTTCTCTTTCTCTTTGTTCTAAGATCAAGCATATCATCTTCTAAAGAAAACCCAACTTCAGCTCCTGTCTTGCAAACTTTCGCTGTAAAAACCTCTAATAATGCCATAGAAGAAGCAGAAGCAAAATCAACAAACTGCTCGCCATCATGCAACAAGATTCCGCGCCCTCTAGCACAAGCTCTCCTCCACTACACAACCTCAACCATCACACCACAGCAAACACTCAAGGAAATCTCAGTGACTGCCAAAGTCCTAGAGAAAAAATCACCTTGCAACTTCCTTGTCTTTGGCCTAGGCCATGACAGCTTCATGTGGAGTGCACTCAACTATGGTGGCAGGACAGTTTTCCTTGAGGAAGATGAGGCCTGGATAGAGCAAATCAAACGCCGGTTTCCTACATTAGAATCCTACCATGTTAAGTATGATAGCAAGGTGAATCAAGCTGAAAATCTAATGGATGTAGGAAAAGGACCAGAGTGCACAGCAATAGGTGATCCCAAGTACTCAATGTGTGAGCTTGCATTGAAAAGCTTACCTAATGAGATCTATGAGACCAAATGGGACTTGATCATGGTGGATGCCCCTACTGGATACTATGAGGAGGCCCCAGGGAGGATGACTGCAATATACACGGCGGGAATGATGGCCAGGAACAGGGAGGAAGGAGAGACTGATGTGTTTGTGCATGATGTGAACAGAGTGGTGGAAGATAAATTCTCCAGTGCTTTTCTTTGTCAAGGGTACATGAAAAAGCAAGTAGGAAGGCTGAGGCGCTTCACCATCCCTAGTCACAGGGATGGCCTGGACAAGCCTTTCTGCCCTGAGTGACTTCAATATTCCTCCATTTTTGCAGGGGGATTTGATTTGATTTCCCTTTGCAATTCTTTGTCATGAACCATTGCTGTCTCAAGTTGTTCCCAACAGTCGCTGGATCTTTTTCTCACAGAAATTGATATATGTAGAAAACTGCAGAATACAATAATTAAGAATCATATGTTAGACTAGATATTTTTCTCCTCAATTTCCCTTTTTTGTGTTCTTATTAATGAAATAATTCATCATACTGGTATGGTGTCATATAAATGAGAGAAGTTTCAAAATAAAGAATTTTTTATCTGGTGAAAAAAAAATCTCAATTAATTGTTTAAAATTTCATATCCAATTCATCCACTGATAAACCAAATTAAAATTAAAAAGTCCAAAATTCTCCTAAAAATTAGATTGATAAGAGGAACATTGAACATGTAGTTAATTAAGTACAGCGACAATGATTTGGAGAACATAAACAATTTTTATCTAGTAAAAATGAAAATAAGATGTACTTGTTGGATTATTGGGGATAAAATAAGCACATGATTGGTTGGCAAAAAA